CCCAGTATCTATAAGTCTGTATTACTGAGTGTCTAGTGTGGGCATCCTCCTTTATAATGTACTACAGACCTGAGCAGGGAGCACAGGGCTTTCTCCAGAGTGACACGGTCTCTCTCTCCAGGAGCTCATTACTGCATAGAAAGATAAGGCACAGATTTGGTAGCTGGGCAGCAGAACATCTAAGTAGCAATGAGAGAGTAGATGGGAAAGAGTCTGAAGTAGCTCACAAGGGTCTGTCCAGTGGAGATGAATGCCGTCACTTCTGCCCTCGGAGGAGGGGCTGGTTTACAGAAGGAACAGAATTTAAGCCAGGCAAATTTTGAAGAAAGAGTAGAACAAGGAATAGTGGGAAATACAACACTTTACCTATGCAAGCATTTAATGAAGAAATAAATCAAAAGATCGGAGTGGAAATCCACAAGGATATGATCACGTGGGCGACCGCAGAGGCGGAACACTGAATCCTGTCAGGCAGAAGATGGGCTCCGTGGGGGCCTGGTGGGAAAAGAGGCAGGGGAGGGAGGTAAAGATCAGAAGGTGGGAGGTGGGAAATGCCTTTCCCCAGCGGGGGCGGCAGGGAAACAGAAGGTTCTGGAAGAGAGCGTAAAACAATCTAAGAGCTCTGGGCAGGATGCAAGAAGAAAAATAACAGTTCTGCGTCCTACAATTTAGAAATTAATCACACACTAGGGAATTTTTTTAAAAAGGAGAACAGCTTCCTATCGTTTTCTTTTTTAAAAATCTATGTACACCAGTCACATAAAAGAAACACATAATGCCTTCTACACCACAGTGGAAGGAATCCATCCCCAAAGGTCCTTCCTTTGTATAAATCATGCCACCACAATCGACGCTTCAATAAAAATGAATATTTATGAAATGTAAAATGACTTGGATTAACTTATTCCAATTTCACCCTCTAAATTTAGAGGGTTTTTTTTTTAAATCACGCCAAAATGTAGATTTTGATTACAAAAGCAAGTTGGGGGAATATATATACTTGACAAGAAAAAGAGAGCAATTTTTTTTTAAGTTGAAAGATGACAAAGGATGACAGAAAGGTGGCTGGTTGGACTAAAAACAGCAGAGACCATTTTCTAAAGTATCTGTTTAATTCAACCACAAAGCCACATTAGACTAAGCAAGTTGTTTAAAACAACACAAAGTATAAAGCTGAACCAACCAACCATCCGCATCTCATGGCACAGCCCAAATCCAGCCTTTCCTTTCTCAGCTATCCTGCCCAAGCTTCCTCAGGCGTACAGACTGTTAGCTTGAGCCTTGTCCACACAGGAGTCAGCATACTGATCTGACCTGGCCTTTGCAGCTCCTGAATCTTGGCGATCTCTCTACTCCTAGAGATGCCCCATCTTTTCTGCCTGCACGCTGCACCCTTGAGGCTGACCCATCATTCATTTAACTAGTCCCTGTTGATGGGCACCTGTGATGCTTCCAAATCTCCCTGCTGCAGATGAAGCTCCAGCCAACAGCCTGCTGCAGTCCTCATTTGGCGTGTGTGTAAGCAAATCTGGAAGGCAAATTCCCGGAAATTGAATTCCTGAGTTCGAAGGTAAATGTGCATTTAAATTTTTGGTAGATGCAGCCAAGCTCCCTTCCATAAGAGTGGAGCTGGTGGAGCCGGCTGACACCGTCTAACAACACACAAGAGTACATGCCTGCCTCTCTCTCTCTCTCTCTCTCTCTCTCTCTCTCTCTCTCTCTCTCTCTCTCTCTCTCTCCACCGACAGACTAGATCATTGTTTCTGGATTTTTGCCAATCTGAAAAAGGAAAACTGGTATTTGCATTTTCCTCACTGAGTGAACTTGAACATTTTTATGTGTTTAGAGATCAACTATACTTTCTTTGGGGATAAAGTGTTCAAAACCTCTGCCTGATTTGTAATCACTGTGGCAATTTTTCTTACAAAATTCTAGAAGCTTCTAATATACTAGGGAAACTAGTCCTTGCCTTTTGGTACATGCTGCTGTACCCTAGGCTGTCTTCTGACTTTGCTTGTGTGTGTGTGTGTGTGTGTGTGTGTGTGTTTTAATTTATTTAATGTGTATGGGTGTTTTATCTACAAAGTCTATGCACTGTGCACATGCCCCCAGATGCCAAAAGAAAATGTCAGATCCCTTAGAACTGACGTTGTAAATGGTAGTGAGTCACCATGTAAATGCTGGGAACTGAACTCAGGTCCACTGTAAGAGCAGCAAGTGTTCTTAATTATTGAGCCAGCTCTCCAGCCACACACAGATTTTTAATGTAATCTAATTACCAGTCTCTTGAGTTTCTAGCTGTGGATGCAAAGGCCTTCCTCACACTACAATTATAAAGAAATTCTCCTTTTCTCACACTCATTTCCTTTTTTGCTCTTAACTGAAGAGAGCAGCATGGTATTATATGCAGGTAATCCCAGCATTCAGGAGACTGCAACAGGAAGACTGCTGAAAGTTCAAAGCCAGCATGGGTTACATAGTGAGTTCAAAACCAACCTGGGACACACATTAAAACTATATCAAAAGCAACATATACACATGCATTCATACATACAACATGGGAAGAGTGGTTACATCAGAAACTCTAGAACACAGTACATCTACCAGACCCACTGTGTGATCTTGGATAAGTTATCTGACCTCCCTAGCCTGTTTCCACATCCATAATGGGGATAATGATGGTTAATGCATCATTGCACTGTTGTGAAAATTAATTATATTAATGTTGTTTCCCTGTGGTGCTTGGTGTGTAACATGCCAGTAAGTGTGGGCTATTACCATCCTGTCTGCTTGGGATTTAACTTTTTTTTTTTAAGATGTGATGACTAGAAAAAGCATCAGTCTAACCCCACATGTCTCCCTAGCTGTCCCAATACCAAATTCCCCACAGTCCTGAGATGCCACCTTGACAAACATCATACTCCTGATTCTTGTTGCTTCATTTGCACATCTCTAATGGCCTTGTCAGTCTGATGTGCTACCATGTAAGCAGTAACCAGTTACCCAAGCCTGCTCATGTTTCCATCCACTCAAGGTGGCCCAGAGGAAAGAAACATTAAAAAGGCTTGAAGGTTTGAATCTTATCTTCTTGCAAAATGTAAATCTACCACCAGGCTGCAGCTGATAAAATGATACAGCCATCTTACAGAATATAAAGAAGGAAAAGCTGAGAAGACCAGTTTAGCTCCAAAAGCATTTGATGACAGTGCATGCCTGGGACTAGCTAGACAAAGCAATCCTAAACAGATGGGTCTTGTCATCTAAAGGGGGCTCCACTGGCCACAGGGCTCTTGAGAGAATGGGGTGCAGGTAACAACAGACTTAATGGACGATACAGAGCCGTGAGGAGGGCGGAGGGCTGAGGCTGCAATGGAGAAGAATATAAACTTTCCAACTAGGAATATGAAGACTTTCATATTCACCATGGTCACAAAACTCTTAAGATATAGTGAGGCACAGTGTTGCTGGAACCAAACACAACCCTAAGCAACTTCTCTAGCCTTTCTTGCTCTCAGTTACTTTAGATTCCCTCCCTAGTAGAGATCCTCCAGCCTTCCATGTGACTGTGAGATATGACACAAGATGGCTGCCCATGCTCCCCTTATACTTGACTTTTAAAGATCATTAAGTTTGGAGGTGTGCAGCTGTGTAACGTATCAGACGTCTCCTTCCATCTTTGCTGCAGATAACCCCTGGGATGTGTTGTCTGTGGCTGTCACTGTATTTATGGTTCAAAAAAAACCTCAGCGTCAAAACCCCCATGTTGTATTCAACCGTATTTCTACTTTGCAAGTAAGGAATGTTTGTTTGAACTGAGCAGCACAAGGTTAATGGCTTAGCAAAATCTCCTAGCCTCTCCTCTCCCCTTTCAAGTCTGAAGAGATCAAGATAAGATATTCCCACTGGCTACAGAAATATCCAGTAGTCTTGTGATTACGGCCAGGTCAATGGGTCATCAGCCACCAGGTTTATGATACCCCACTCCAAACTAGAGAGATACCTAGAAGCCTACAATGATGTCAGCTCCTAACCCTGTCCCTAACCCTCTCTGCCTGAAGATAAAAGAAACCTGAAAAAACAGTTTACCAGGCCACCTTTTTCTGGTTTTGCTAGCTTACCAAATCTTTCTCTTTGTCCCCACTCTTTCTAAAATATTCAGGTCCTCTTCCAAGTGGCAAGTACATGAACTTAGATTCTGTACCTGGGACAGTGAGAACCTGTCAGGGATGAATACTCCCAGGAGTGGAGGCTACAAGTATTACAATGGGGTTGACAAGCTAGGTGGCTTAGCAGGTAAAAAAAAAAAAAAAAAAAAAAAGGGGGGCAACAAGAGCTACATTCTGAATTCAACTCCTGGGTCCTAAGTGGTGCAAGGAGAAAACTGAGTCACACATAATCAGCTGATCTTCCCACGTGCACCTGGGGCTCAAGGGAGCACGCACAGACACCTCCTAGAGGCTTCATCCATAGTACAAGGAGTTTCTGCAAACGGGGGAGACAACCCGGCAAGCCCTTGAATCAACTACAAACTGGGGAGGACTCTTGCGACCAGCTCTGGTCTAAAATTCCACTTCAAAACCTAAGTTAGCAACGTTAGGTCTGCCTCCAGTGCTTTTGTGAACAGGCACAGCTAGATGCTCCTAGAGGCCTAGGTGAGAAGGAAGACTAAGGCTGGGCTCCCATCATACTCTTACTAACCCCAAATACGGAGCTTCAGACCTGCAACCGGGCTGGGTCAATCCCAATGCTAGATTTTTTCAGAGCGAGACTCAAACAAAGAGAAGCAAGTAGGCAGGAGACTGTCCCGCTGAGCTCCCGCCCCTCCAGGGCTGGGAGGGGGGGCGGACGGGAGCGGCGGGGGGGGGGGGGGGGAACGCGCGCTGCTTCTTCGCGCACGCGCAGACCCCGACCTGGGACCCACCCGCGGCCCTGCACGTCTTCTTCCGGGAGGGTGCTGTGCGCAGGCTTCACGCGCATGCTCAGCAGGCCTGCCGTCTTACCTGCTACGGAGATCGGCTTGGTGCGTCCAGGCAAGGCTTCCTCCGCGCGGATGACTTTCGAAACTGGGTCGCCCATCCTCCGTACCGGAATGGTGCTGGAGAGAATCTGAAGAGCCCTTCTAGAGGCGGAGAGCATGGGCGGCTTGTCAATCTCGCGGGGCAGACCTCCAGACCTGGGTGTCTCTGAGGGACAAAGTTCCCAGAGTACGTGAAGCGGCGCGGGCCAAAATTTATGCTGGCTGGGCGCCACCGCGGGGTGTTAGAGTTCCTGCCGTTTCCCAACCTCCGCAGCCAGGGTTCGGGGCGCGATGTGTTCACGCAACCACAAAGTAGAAAAGGGAAATCAATGTGTGTGTACATAAAAAGGCAGCGAGCTAGAAGAAAGGCAGACGTATAAGAGGATGGATGGATGGACAGCTAGGAAATGTCTGTTTCTATCCGAGCCTTCTTAATAAGTCAAGTCGATCCAAAGCGAAACCAAAGCATAATTCTCAACACCACAAAGGATCAAGTACTCAACGTGAAATGCGTGTGTATAAGTGTATAAATACATTCTTCAGCCCATCTCATGGCCCATAAAATAAACAATGCAGACACAAATACATCGTTAAACGCTGTTTATGTGAAACTTAGGAGAAAATATTCCTAAAGCGAATCTCCAGCCTTAATCTTTAGGTGGCTAGGACCAGATGAGTGGTTTCAGAGGTCCTGAAGGAGATTTTGGTTTACACACTGCCAAAATGGGCGGATAGGCTCACACGAAGGAAGGAACTGAGGATTAGCACCCACAGGGATTTGAAGCTTTGAACCTAAGCTTCTCTGTGGGTTTAGTTACCGCTGTGTTTTCGTGTGGGACTGTAATATAAGGACTAGGATTAGCATACTGCATAGAATGTTGCCAGACACACAGTGTTAAACAGATTAAGGTGTTTACCTTATAATGTAGAAGTCCCCTGGGCCAACTTGTCTCAACAGTTTACTTTCGGCTTGCTTTTGCTGTGAAAATATGCCAAATAAGCAGGTTCTTTCTACTAGGCCTTGCCTCCAGGCTTGAAGGGGGCCTGGCCACTAAAGAAAAAAAAATGTGTCAAGAAAAAAATTGTACTTCTAATTTACTGCCCTTTGATTCATACTGACTTGGTTTTTCTGTTTTGTGGTTGATGGAACATGGGAAACATGCAAGAAAAACTTTGTAAGAAAAACTTCGTAACTAAGTATTGTGTAACGGAAGAATTTGTAATGTCAAGGGAAACTACTTGTGTAATGTTAGGTACCCCAGAACCACAGTCCATGAATATTTAGTATGTAAGATACACACACACACACACACACACACACACACACACACATACACACACACATTTCTACTTCCCTACTAAGGAGAAATGAGTTTAAAAATAAATAAAAGCAATGTTTAGAGTTTTATTTTTCAGAGTAGTAGGTCTCTTACCAAAGTTCTTTCCAGCCTTGTGGTCCTGGGAACCCAACTCAGAACATAAGGATTGGTGCAGGTACCTTTACCTGCTGAGCCATCTCTCTGGCCCTACTTTAAACATTTTGAAGGGTTCTGTGTACATTGTTTAAATGTTCTCAGTGACCCTAATGGTTGTCCTACACTCATGCAAACAAACATTGTGAAGAAAAAGAGTATTCTTTAAAGTTTCCTTTATACAAGTTTAACCTCATTTAACAAAATAGCTGTATTAGCTGAGTTGTTTCTTGTCTTGTTTGTTCATTACAGTCTCTCTGTGTAGCCCTGGTATGGAATTCAGGGACTCACCTTCCTCTGACTCCTAAGTCCTGGGGTTAAAGCTGTAGCTACCATACCAAACCTCTGAGATTTGTTTTTGGAGGAGATAAATAATTAATACTATTTCTAAGTCTAGGCATTGCTTTTCTTCAGACTCCAACCACTTCTGAGCTAGCCTCCATATTTACTCCATAATTACATCCTAATTACACTAGGCCTTCTGACAAATTGTAACACATTCTCTTTGCAACAACAAAGAATCTCAGAACACAACAGGTTCAAAAAAATAGATTATTTCTCTTAAGTATGTCAACCTAGAAGGAAACAGTCTCCCACTAGGAAGGATCCTGGCTCTTCGTCCATAGTGAGTGGGTTAAAAAGAGAGCTCAGACATGCTCTTTCTTCTGGGACCTTAGTCTAGACCCAAAACCTACATAAAAATGTTGGGTGTGGTAGCACACTTGTTGTAATTGAAGGTGCAATGAAACCACCAAACTGGACCACTCCATGGGTAGAATAAAAGGTTTATTGGCAATCAAACTAATCAAGGGTATCTTGGGGCAGGGTAGAGAGACAAACTAGCAGAAAAGCAGGTTTTATATGACAGCAAGGTGGAGATCTTTGAGCTATTATAAGTTATCTGGGTTGATTGGGAACTAGGTGCCTTTGCCTGAGGTAGTTGACTTTGGAAAAAGATTTAAAGTGGTTCCTGGTAAACAGAACCTTCATTAGATCTGATTTTCTAGTAAACAGAAACCTGCCTTTAAGCTTGTTTACCTGGTAACAACAATCCTACTGCTTACCTTGCTGAAGTCCTTCTGTAGGACAGTGTCATCAACACTGCCATTTTGGGCTGCCACTTTGGACCTAACACTTGTAACCCTAGAAGCACTAGGGAGGCAGAAACAGGAAGATCCCTGAGGATTACTACCCAGCCAATTTAGTTAGCCTACTTGATGAGCTCCAGGCCAGGAGGACATACCTCAAAAATACATACATACATACATACATACATACATACATACATACATAACATACTCAATGAATGAAAAAATGATACTCAGTGTTGACTTCTGATCTCAACAAGCTTACAATCAAATGAACTTGCACACACACAATAACAGGGAAAACTGGCATGATGGTGCAAGCCTATAATCCCAGTATTTGGGAAGTGGAGGTGCCTTAGTTAGGGTTTCTATTATTATCAAGAGACACCATGAGTGAGGCAACTCTTATAAAGGAAAACATTTAACTGGACTAGCTTACAGTTTCAGAGGTTTAGTCCTTGATCATCATGGTGGGAAGCATGGCAGCATCCAGGGAGACATGGTGCTAGAAAGGTAGCTGAGAGTTATACGTCTTGATCTGCAGACAGCAGGAGGAGACTGGATTCCATACCTGAGCATAGGAGACCTCAAAGGCCACCCTCACAGGATACACTTACTCCAACAAGGCCACACCTCCTAGTATTGCTGCTCCCCATGGGCCAAGCATTCATTCACATGGCTCTATGGGGATCATACCTATTCAACCCATCACAAGAGGCAAGAGGATTAAGAGTGCAAGGCTGCCCTCAGCTATACAGTGAGTTTGAGGCCAGCCTGAGCTACATGAGCTGTGTATCCAAATGAAAAAACAATAAAAACCCTATGAAAAAAAATCAATACACAAAATCGTTTTCATCTTGCATGGATTAGGAAGTTGACTGTTATCTAAGGTTGTGTATGTATACTACTTCCCTAATGAAAACATACTTGTTTCTTGATCACCGATGTCAGTATTTGGCTGTTTTACTTTACTATGCATTTGTATTACAACTACTCATAGATTCTGCTAGAAGCTTCCTTGGTTAACGAAGTAGCTAACTGTGTCCCATCACAGGCTACGCATCAGTGGGATCAAGCACATGGAGGACTTGAGCTTTCTGAAGAAGAAAAGGCCAGGGACTCAGAGAAGGTGCTCAAGAGCCAACAAGTGCCTGGCATTTGGCTGTCACCTCTACTCTTTATTAAACTGCAAATACAGCAAAGGTATTCTGGAATGCTCACACAGATAAGGTTTCACTTACCTCAGTAGAGAGACACCCTTATAAATGAATAAACAAAAAGCTTAAGTGACATTTACATTTGCATACTTAAAACCAAGTGGCTTTATATACGGCCTGTCTCCAGAAGATACAAAGCTGTCTGAAGAATTTAATTAATTGCATGGATTATTTTACTGAATTTTTAAGGGGAAAATGAAATAAGAATAGGCTTCATTACAAAGCAGGAAGTTCTTAGCTCTGTGTGCTTTATCTTTAACCTTCACACCAATCCCTTTTCAAAGTTTTGTAGGTGAAGAAACTCAGGCTCAGCATGATGCCCAAACAAACAGCTACCAAAGGGGAGAGCCTGGATTCAAATCTGAGCATTTCCAAGTCCCAAGTTCAAGGTCACAGCTTAAAAAAAAAAAAAAAATACAAAGTGGTGTGGACCTGACTCAGATAAATGCCTCAGTTCTTCAACACTGACTTTGTCATTTGGATCTGAGTGAAACAGAATGCAATGATTTGGGTAAAAGGTAAAAACACCCCACTTCAGGGTTCTTCTCAAGAGGCAAGCATGTGTCTCCCATTGTTCTTTCACCTCTTGTTAAAACACTAGAAGATCCACCAGGTTCTAATTGGGTCATCCTTCCAGGGGAGAATGACTAGATGTGGCCATGTGATGAAGCGACAATCCTGGAAGGGAGGTGTGGCTCCATACAGCTCCAAGGTCATGGCCTTAGACACAAGAGGCAAGTTCCCCTTTTAAGCTGTCTCCTCTCCTGATGGCTGACCATGAGAACCAGAGACAATGAGAACCAGAGCTCAGCAGCCAATGCACTCTCAAGACACAGTTTCAAGAAGCGCATCATTGAACAGCCTCCTCTCCGCTGTAGAGATGACGACTGTTCCTCAGTTTCCTTCCTTCTCCAAGCTAGTCTGGGTCCCCAGTGGGCTCATACACCTTGAGTTTTGACTGGCAACTTCCTAAATGTATGCTTCTTCTGCCTCCAGGATGCTGGAATTAAAGGTGTGCACCACCACCTAGCTAGAAGATTTATTATTTTTATATGTGTGTATGTGCCTGGTTGCATAAGTTTATGTGTACCTCATGTAAACCAGAGAGATCAGAAGTTCTGGAACTGGAGCAACAGGCAGTGGTAAGCCATCTGATATAAGTGCTGGAAACCAAGCCCAAGTCCTCTGAAAGGGCAGAAAGTACTCTTGTCCCATGAGCTAGCTCTCCAGCCCCTAAATCATATGTGTTAGAGCCAGCTGAGATATAGCGCAGTAGAGTGCTTACCTGGCCTTCATGAAGGCCTAGGTTCTGAGAGAGAGAGAGAGACAGAGAGAGAGAGAGACAGAGAGAGAGAGAGACAGAGAGACAGAGAGAGACAGAGTCAGAGAAACAGAGAGACAGAGACAGAGAACAATCACTTGGTAT